CAGCGCGCGCTGCAGAAACCGAGAGCTCCGCCGGCGGCGGCGTGCCTCGAAAGCCTGCCGCAGCATCTTGCCGTTGACCGACCACGGCAGGTTGGAGCAGAAGATCTGCGTCTTCGACAGAGGGCGCTGGTCGAGAGGCGTGCTCATCGCGTGGCTGTAGAGCTGGCTGTGGGGGCACGTATTAGGGTTGGGTGCACTCTTTTTTCTTTTTCCGGTAGGCGGTCGAGCGGGCGGGCGTCAGGACCGGGCGAGGCGGCGGGCGGCGGGCGAGGCGCCAGGCGGGACGGCTGCTGGCGCAAGTGCGCATGGGGGAGACGGCGGCGCGGGTGGCGAGCGCACGCGCAGACGGGAGGGGGGCGGAGTCGATTGACACTTTAAAATTTTAGGCGGCGGTTCGAAGCAGCGCCAGCGGCCCGGTCCCGGCAACATGCGACGTCGCGCTGCGCGCCAAGTCCTCCCGTCTCACCTCCTCCGTCCGCGCGGCTAGGGGTGGTAGTCGTTAGGTTCCGGCACGCCGAGCCAGCTGGGCATCGCCGTCACGTTTGGAGGGAAGCCCGGCTGTGTGGTGGAGGAGAGGTTGTGCCAGCGCATGTACCTTAGGGGTGGGTCGGGACAGGGGTGGAGGGAGGGGGCGGGGAGGGGGTTCCGCAGCGCGGAGTGGGGGCGGGCGGGCGGGCGGGGGGGCGGCGGCGCCGCGGGGCGATGGTGGTGGTGGCGGTGGTGTGCGTGTGTGTGGTGGGGGGGGGGGGGGGGATTTCACTTTGAGCCGCCCGGGTCGGTCGGGATCGTATACGGGTCCGGGTGCATCATGGCCTTGAGCTTCGCCTCGCCCGCCGCCACCAGCTTCTCCACCTGCTTTGCGTCCTGCACGTGCCGGTTCGCCTGCGGCGCAAGCGCAAGCGCGGGCGCGGCCAGAGTGAACGAGAGCGAGGGAGTGTCGCCTACACGAGAAGTGGCAGCCGCGCGCGGCGCTTGATATTGTGTGACGGGAAAGCGGCGGACGCGGAGGCGGCAGCAGCAGCGCGGCTGACGCCGCCCGGACCATCTCGTCCGTAGAGGCTGCGCCGCGCCGCGCGTGGCTTGTGTGGCTCAGCACGCCCGCGCCTCAAATTCGGCGCGGAGGTCAAAGCCCTTTTTGATCCAGAGGTCGCGGTGGACGCACCAGTTGAGCAGGTTCTTGAGCGAGTGGCGGTACAGCTTCTTCACGCGCAGGACGTGCGCGGAGCTCATGCGGGCGCCGAGCCGGGCGGGTACCTAGCGGCGAGAAAAAGAATTCTCGCACTCTGGCACGAACTAGCACCACAAAAGGCACAGCAGACAACGGCCCCTTATGGGCCGTCGAAGAGGCCGTCATACTCCTCCGGCCTCGCCCCCCCTTCCCAACCCTCCCCTGGCTCAGGCTCCTCATCCTCGCGGCGCGCAGTGCGCACCCCGCCCCGCGAAGACGAACCCTTCCGCCGGCGTGCCTCGCGGGACTGCCGCCCGCTGCCGCCGCCCTTCCCCCCCTCCGCTGCCCGCGCCGCCTTCTCCGCCGCCCGCGCGCCGCTAGGTACCCGGCCGCGGTGTAGTTTACGTAACTACACTACCGCGCAATGTCCAGCGCGGTCGACCCAAGGCCGCCGAGGTGCAAAAAAGACACATCCGCACACACCTCATAGCGTAACCCGCCACCATGCCGCCGCCTCGATGGTTTCGGTGCCGCAGCCCCTCTCACGCACCCGCTTCTTCTCATCATCACGCGCTCTCAGCACATCCAACTGCGGCTCCTTTTCCATCTCCACGAGCCGAGCAATTCATGATTGCAGAGCAAGTGGCGTGTGGCCGCCGTCGGCTCACGCGTGTGTGCCTCATGGTGGGCCTGGGAGGGGTGCAGACACATGAGGGCAACGGCGCCAGCACCCCTCGCATCCCACCTCTCACACGGCCGGCCTCCTCCCGCTCCCGCAGGCTACTTTGGACGAGCTGCGCAGCAGCGCTAGTCTCGGGCGCCTCCTCTCGCTCCTCGTGTCTCAAGCATGTCCCTCTCTGGCGCCAACCACTTCAAGCGCGCGTGGCCCCGCATCCTCTCGTTCGCGGCGTTCTTTGCGGAGCTGCCCGGCGGCATGCCGGCCCACCTGCCGCCAGTCCCGAAGCCGCTGCCCGAGGGCATGCGCCGCGGGCAGCGCTCCCGCTTCTACCTCTTTCATTACCCCTCGCCCCACTCTGCCAAGCACGGCGGCTACGTCACGGACGAGGGGCACGCGACCGACGAGACGACACGTATGCTCGAGCGCGCCGTCAACTCCTCCCACAACAGCGTCAACCTCACCTTCGACCAGCACTTCGACTACATCGCCGACATCTACGACGGCCCACATCCCTTCAAGGTCGGCAAGGTCGACTTCACGTTCGACAAGCACTTCTACAACTCCAAGAAGCTCAACCCGAAGCAGATGGCCGACTGGCGCGCAGGGAAGGTCGACATCCTGAAGAACATCATCGTCGACGAAATCGTCGAGCGCGGCCGCGTCGGCGCCGACGTCCTCGTGACCGGCGTGCAGGCACAAAAGTGGTGGCCAAGCCTCCTTGCGGAGGCGGTCCCGCTCGCGCGCGAGGAGGCGCGCGTGATCCTCGGCCTCGCCGACCTGCCGCCGTTCGACCTCGCTTTCCCCTCCGAGCAGCGCGGCGAGCTCCCCTCCCTCCCCGACGACGCCAAGTGCGCTGACTCTGAGGTCCAGCACCCTTGTGGGGCGCTCAAATGCATGTCCCCCGGCCACCGGGCCCGGGTCGACGCCGCGATCCAGTTCGCGCAGCGCGGCGTCCTCCCGGAGGACGCCATCGTTGAGTACTTCCAGGCCCTCTCCCCCAAGCACGGCAACTTCAACGACACGGAGCGCAAGCAGCTGCAAGCCGACGCCAAGGCGCTGAGCCGCTTTCCAGACACTTCCTAGGCGCTTCCCGCTCCTCCCCCACCTTTCCACGCCCCTTGTCTGCCGCCCGATCCAGGCGCTGGCGGGGGGCTACGACGGGCCGTCGCCGCTGGACAAGGAGCTGACCGAGGAGCAGAAGAAGGCGCGGACCGAAGCCATCTCCAAGGAGCAGAGCATGCGGTCGCGTGGCGGCAGCAAGGTGGTGAAGGCGGCGGCGGACGCGGCAGCGGTCGGCCACGAGGAGGCGGTGGGGAGGCTGGAGGAGATCAAGACGCAGAAGCAGGCGAGTGGCTCGGCGCTCGGCTCGGCGTACGGCTCGGCGAACGGCTCGGCGCACGGCAAGGTGAACGGCAAGAAGGGCGCGAAGAAGATTAGGGAGGACGCCGCAGGCACCCCCCCCCACCCTCACACACGCGCACCCGACAGCCCTAAAAGGCTAAGACCCCTCCCTTTCCGTTGCAGCCGAGCGGCCGCCGATCGCTTGGGTGAAGATCCGTCTGCTGAGCGGCGGGGGGGCTGTGTCGTGCCCCGTGCGCCGCGGTTCCAATCAGATCAGGAAGAACTCCGCGGGGCACCAGGTTGTCTACCCCGGAACCTGCAAGACCACGCTCGGGCACTACCCGATCTCCTTCCCGAGGTGCGGGCGCGCAAAGGGCGAGTACATCGTCATCAAGGGCACCAAGGTCGCCGTCATGGTGGACGACTACACGCCACACCCCCCCCCCCCCCTGAGCTCGACTCACCCTCCTCTCCGCGTCTGAGAGAGAGAGAGAGAGATCTGAGGGAGCGACAACCGGACAAGCGTCGCAGAGCGTAGGAGATCAGTCTGTCTGAGAGAGGAAGCGCGGTTGACATAGGGGCGAATTTTCTCGGGAACACCGCTGCGAATGGCATGACGACTTTTCATTGAGTTTGAGAGATGAGGACGCACATTCAAAGAGAGGGAAAGAAGAATTCGTTGCGCGGGGAGGCCCGCGCCTGCCCCCGTGCGCCGTGGCACCCCTCTCCTTAAAATTTTTATAAAATCCCTGTGTGGTGACGGAGGATTGGCTCGAAAAAAGAATTTAGATACGTTTTCTTTCTTTTGCTGCGGGAAACTCGACGCACGATTCCATACCCCGACACGAAATAAAGGATTTTTTACGTGCCAGCAATAAATAAACGGAGGTACCGCTGCGAGAAAAAGAATTTCGGTGGCCAACTACATTCAGTCCGAGCCTGACGCGAGGTGGCATGAAGGTTGCAGCGAGAATCGGCGAGAGACTGCGAAAAGAGATAGGAAGAGGCAGACTCCCTAGGGTGGGCGACGGCTAGCGCATCACACTCCTCTCCTTAAAATCCCTGTGTGGTGGCGGCGTGCCGTCCTCCCATCCCTCCCTTGGGTTGTCTGTTTTCTTTCTTTCTTTCGTCCGAGCCTGACTGTTCTTCACCTTCCTACACATACATACATTCATCTTCTGGTGCTTAGCCCCGTGCAACAGCGGTCCGGCAGGCTGCCCCCAAGGCCCCCCGGGCCGCTGCGGGTTTGGGAGTTATGGGCCTTATGCTTAGGCACAGCTTCGGCGATGGCAGCCCCTCTGTGGGGTGTTGCATAGGCAGGGAGTCTCCCCCGCTGGTCTCCTCCTTCCCATTTTTCTTTTCTTTTGAGAGCAGAACGCCGGGTTTGTCTTGTATGTGCGTGTCGGGCCTGGGTGTACGTGCGGAGCAGAGGGGGGTGGGGGTGTGCGGGGCAGAAGCTCAACGTCGGTCGGGGCTTGTCGAGGCTGAAGAACACAAGGGGGGAACGAGGAGGGGGGAATGGGCGGTCGGCGATGGGGTATGATGCAACCGGCGTACCGGGGTAGTCGTCACACACCCTCCTGCCTCAAAAGGGGCGGCGGGGCTGTCCCGGAAAGTGAGAAACGCCGGGCAGCGTGACGCACAACTTTACCCTCCCATACGTGTTGGGCTCCTCCTTGAGCGACACAACCGTCGGCGCCGCGCTATCGCGGCGCCCCGCAGTCTACACGCCTCAGGCGCACCCCTGAAGGCGCCATGAGCGCGCAGGCACATAGCAGCGCCGCGCCAAAAGGTCATTCCCTCGGCCCGACCCGTGGCTCCACCGCGGCTGCAGCGGTCCGCTCACCTGCACAGGGCAAAAACGTGTAGCTTAACACGAGTTGTGACAATCGGTGCTGGCGGAGGCCTCATCGCCGCGAATGCTGCCAGTCTCAGCGGGATCTGACGTCGCGTTCGAGGTGTGCGTTGGCGGAGGGGTCGCATATGGCTGAGAGAGGCAGAGGGGCAGCAGGCGGGTGGTGGGGCGGCACCTGTTGCTGCCATAGGCAGCGCCGAGCCGCGGCGGAGTCGCTCCGTAGGTCCGCGTTGAGCCACATGAGTGCGCCGACCCGTCGCGAGGCGCCTGCGCGGGGTGATGTCCCGCGCCGATGGCTGAGTACGGCTACGCGCCCGGCGTGCGTGGTGCGAGCGGGCTTGCGCGAAAAGGGGCGGTGCGAGCAATGGCGCGGCGCTATGCCGCTTGCCCCCCCTTGCCCCCACCACTTTGTGTGTGTGTGGAGAAATGTACCTCGTTACCTTTCCCGCTCAGCTCCTCAGACCTCACTCGTAAAAATGGTACTGCTGGCCGCCCGCCACCTCCTCACCATCCGCCGCAGCGCGATCGCAGCCAGCGCACACGTGGCAACGATGAGGATCACAACAAAGCCGGTGAGAGCAACGCCTGCGAAAACACAAAGAGGGTCCGTCCAGCGAAAAGTGCCGAGCCGCGGTGAAAGCTCACGGGTCGCGCCAGCGAGCGCAAAGCTTGGCCAGTCTCGGCCAATCTCGGCCAATCTCGGCCAATCTCGGCGAGGGCGACGCCTGCGCTCTCCCTCTCCTTGCGCATCGGCTCGCTCTCGACCAGCAGCACCTGCGAGTGCGGACGGCGTCTCTTCACAACTCCAGCTGTGAACAGGCGGTCTGGAGCAGGGGAGGAGGCTGCGAGTGTGGACGGCGTCTCTTCACACCGACCTGTGTGTATACCTCCTGTGCCCCTTCCTCTCCCTTACCCCTGCGTCTAGTTAGGCCAGACTGCTCGCGCGTCTCTCGCTATCTCGGCGCTATCTCGCACCATCAACCCAACCACCAGAAGGCAAAACACGATCACCCCGATCTCGACGCAGACAGCGCAGGCTCGGCCAGACAGCGCGTGCCGCCGGTCAAAGGCGATGCGCCGCCGGACGGAGATCTGGTACGCGTGGCCGCCTATTCGCAGCTGTCGGCTGGCCTTCGTTTGTCCACAGCAGGGCGGAGACCTGGCGCGCGTGGACGCCGGCGAGGCGGTAGGCCGACACGAGCCGCTTCCCCGCGGGCGTGCGGCGAAGCCGGTCAAAGTCGGCCTCGCTCATCGGGCCTGCGGTGTGGATGCGGTGAGATGAGAGAGGCCGACGAGAGCTCTCTCACGGTGAGTGGCGAGTGCGCCGCAGCAGATTGCGGTGGAGACGATGTTCGAAGCTCCAGATGAGAGGCGAATCGCGCACCGTCAGTGCGGCCAGTCTCGCTGCGCGCGTAGTATCCGTCCATTGGCCACTACGCCGGAGGCGACGCTAACAAGCCGTCGAGCACAGATAAACGCGCTTCTCCGAGCACGCTCTGGGTTCGGGCTCCTTGCCGTCTGGGGGTCCCCTCTCCGCTCGAGGGACCAGTCCGAGCTTGGCTGTTCTTCACCTTCCTACATACATACATACATCGGGGTGCCGCTCGGGGTGCCACGGACCTCCAGTACTGTGTTTTTCTCCGGGACCAGCCGGGTTAGGAGGAGAGCGCTTCGCCCCACCCATACAGACAAAACAAAATTTATGTCCCACCATGCAGAGCGCATCTCTCTCTCTGTTGTGCGAGGCGTGAACCGCGCCATTCGCTCTCACCTGGCAACCCTGTCTGCACGTCTCGCGCGCGCGTGAACAGGGCTCCAGGCCCCAAATGACGTGTGAGTGTTAGATTTGTTTGGTATTGCTAAAAATCTCTCTCTCCCATACAGTTGTAGGCGCAGGGCTCGACCGGGCATGCAGTGGCAAACAAAGTAAGTGAGCTCGCCGCGTTATTTAGGCTCCAGGCTCGCAGCAGCTTGGGAAGGGTCAGGCATGGCGCGGCCACGAGCGATTGGTAGCGCGCGCGGGAGAAGCGCGGCTAAACAGGCCGTGCCAGGAAAAGAGAATTTTACAACAAACTCCCTCGCACGACACCTGGGCACGGGACTGCGCGCACTGGCACTAACAGTGGTGTGTGGTGAGTGTGTGTTAAAACTTCTGATGCCATGCGTGACCTAGTAGTGTCCCCAGCTATGGGCGTGTCCACGTTGGAGCCAGGTGTGGTGTGGACGCGAGAATAGCTCCGCCGTTCATGGAGGCAACCGATGCGAGAGTCGACTGGTGTGTGTCGTCGTGGTTTCGTATCAAGAATACTCACTCACTCACTGGCACTAACACAGGGAGTCTGCCTCCTCCTATCTCTCTTCGCAGTCTCTCGCCGCTTCTCGCTGCAACCTTCATGCCACCTCGCGATCGTCCCACTCTCGTCGTGCTCTCCCTTGTCACTTCCTCCTCTGTCGCGTCGCTCTCTTCTGCCTCGTCCTGCGACGCCGCCGCCTGCCGGTCCCTTGTTCTCGCGGCTTCTAGGCAGGAGGAAAGGGCGCCGCGTTATCACGCCTGGATTTCTTTTCTTTAGCCTTCCCTTCAATTAAAAAAGACCGGCATCGACGGCGAACTCGAGACCCTTGAGGGTTTTGGGGAAATGCTCTCCAGAGACTTGAGTTGTAAAATCGAATAAACAAGAACAACAAAAAGATTTTACAACGAGGCACGCGGGAGGCTGGCGCGCACTATTTATTTCTTTCTTTCATAAAGAAACAACCTGCTCGCCAGAAGTTCACATCGACAACGATTGTCAAATCATTTTTTCTCAGATCATACATATCATTTTAACTGCTGCGGGAGACTAGTCGGGAAAGAATTATTTACAACAAAACTCCCTCGCACGGGAGAACAAAACAAAAACAGAGAGAGAAAGAAGAATCTTACAAGGAAAGAAGAAAGACTGCGCCAAAACTCTAAATTTAGACAGGCACGACGCGGGTGCGGACTTGGGCGCGTGCTGGCACTCCTAACATGGTAGTGCCAACTTTTCGGCCCTTTCCGCCTTTCGCTCACTCACACCTCACTGCCCCAGACCCCACACCTCGATCTTCTTGGGCAGCAGCTGGTTCGACAGGTCCTCTCCGTGGCCTAGGCAGCCGGTCCCGCCTTGGCCCCAGGTAAAGACGGCGCCGTCGGCGGTGACGGCGATGCTGTTCGCGGCTCCAGCCGACGTCGCGACGACGCGCTGGCCAGCAAAGGCCTCGACCTTCTTTGGCAGCAGCTGGCGCTGCTCATCGCCGTGGCCCAGCTGGCCAAAGCCTCCCCAACCCCAGCTCCAGACAGCACCGTCGGCGGTGAGGGCGAGGCTTTGGCGGGATCCTGCGGACACGGCGACGACACGCAGCCCAGCAAAGGTCTCGACCTTCTTCGGCTGCCGCTGCTCCTGCCCGTCGCCGTGGCCCAGCTTGCCATCGTCTCCTGCGCCCCAGCTCCAGACGGCTCCGTCGGCGGTGAAGGCGAGGTTGTGGCTGCTTCCAGCCGACACGGCGACGACGCGTTGCCCAGCCAAGGCCTCGACCTTCTTCGGCAGCAGCTGGCGTTGCTCGTCGCCGTGGCCCAGCTTGCCAGAGTCTCCCCAGCCCCAGCTCCAGACGGCGCCGTCGGCGGTGAGGGCGAGGCTGTGGCTGCCTCCAGCCGACACAGCGACGACGCGCTGCCCAGCGAAGGCCTCGATCTTCTTGGGCAGCCACTGGTGCTGCGAGTCGCCGTGGCCCAGTCGACCAGAGTCTCCCCAGCCCCAGCTCCAGGCGGCTCCGTCGGCGGCGAGGGCGAGACTGTGCACGGCTCCAGCCGTAACAGCGACGACGCGCTGGCCAGCAAAAGCCTCGATCTTCTTCGGCTGCCACTGGGCCCGCTCGTCGCCGTGGCCCAACTGGCCGTCGCCTCCAAAGCCCCAACTCCAGACGGCGCCGCCGGCGGTGATGGCGAGGGTGTGCGCGGTTCCAGCCGACACGCTCACTGCGCGCTCGCCGCCCAGCATCGACGGGAGGCGGGTCGGCGTGTTGAGCTGCGTCACGCCCTCGCCGTGCCCGAGCAGTCCTGGAAAGTAATACGGCGCTGAGCCGCACGACGAGAGCCGCCCCTCGCCGTCGATGAAGAGGCTGTGCCGACCACCTGCCGCCGCCCTCGCCGGCGGGTTGGCCTCGCACAGCAAGGCCGAACAGCACAGCCACCGCACGGGGCAGCCCTCGCCCTCTGGCTGCGCCGGCAGCTCGTAGCCGCGCTCTTGCGCCCGCAAGCGGATGCCCTCCTTCGCGAGTGAGGCGTGGAAGAGCAGCGAGACGGCCGCGGCGCGAGCGATGTCGGCGGGGTCGCAGCGAGAGAGGGCGCGCACGAGGAGCTCCGTGGGGAGGTCGAGGAGGCGGGCGGGGGGCGGCTTGTCTGGGACGGGAGTGGCGGTGGTGGCGGCTGGGGCGAGGCGGCGCGAGCGGCGGCGCGGCGGGGCAGACATCGCGAGAAAAAGAATTTCACAAGCAAAGGCGAGAAAAAGAACTCTGCCGATGCCGAAACGCGAGGGACCGCGGGGGAATGCTAGTGGGATGGGGGGCTCTAAGGGGAAGGGAGCGGGGGGCGCCCAGTAGGGCGCCGGCGCCCCAGCGTCTGTATCCCTCTTTTTGGTATACCAAAAAAACGTCGCGCCGTCCAACGGTCTGCTGCCCCGCGCAGCAACCGTCGGGCGACGACCCGGGGGCCAAAAACCCGGCGACGACGGCGCTCTGGATGGGGCGTGACCTCCTGCCTCCAACCTCCTTCCTTTTTGAGCAGGTGTGACGCCGCGCGAGCGACGCTCCGAGATCGCCCGAGATAGCGCGGCGCGGCCCCGAGATCGCCCGAGATAGCGCGAGATCGCCCGAGATAGCGCGGCGCGGCCCCGAGATCGCCCGAGATCGCGCGAGATCGCCCGAGATCGCGCGGCGCGGCCCGGGGCGGGGTGGATGGGTTGGGAGCGAGGGGGCGGAAGTGCTCAGTGCGGTAGATTGGCGAGCTCGAGGCGCGTGAGCCGGACCTGTGAGCCGGACCACCCCCTCTTGTTATCTGCGTTGTTGAGCCAGGACTCAACATACATACTCGGGCTTGCAATCCCAAACTGTCACTCCCCTTTCTCCCGGCCGAGGTGGGGCGCGCGCGGGGGCGGCGGGTGTGCGGCGAGTGTGCGGGATGTCTGTGGGCCCGAGAGCGATATGCCATGTCCGCCTTGCGTTGTTTCATAACATCGAAGGCTAAGCTCAAAAAAAGAGACCAGGTCGCCTTCCCCTCATGCTCTCAGCTGGCACTCGCGTGAGGCTGCTCGGCTTGACCGGCCGACCAGAGCTAAACGGCCAGGAGGGCACGATGGAGCGGCTCATTCCGTCGACCGGCAGGTACAGCGTTCTGCTCAGCATCGGAGAGAGCGTATCCGTGAAGGCGTCAAACCTGGAAGCGTGCGAGCACGAAGAGATGGTGACGGTCAACGGACTTTGTTACTGCACACCACACCGCCTCGAGTGCTGTGGCGCCTGCTTCACGTCCCACAACATGACGAATCGGCTCGCAGAGCTGGGGTACGCCAGCGCCGATGAGCCAGAGAGCCGCCGGATGATGCGGCAGGCGGAGCGGCTGTGCGAGGCCGAGGCGGCCAAGAACCAGCCTCCCCGCCGCGCCCCACCGAAACCCGGCCAGGCGAATCCGCCGAAGCCAGACAAGGTTGATCGGTCGCAGCGCATCGCCGAGGGCTTGGACCCCTCGCGCCTGCCGAAGTGGACCGGAGACCTCGCAGGCGCTTTCCACGCGGCCTTCTCCTTGGACGAGGTCGTGGCCTCGCATGCCAACCCTCCGGCAGCGGGCAGCGACTTGTCGTTCGAGGTCCGCACGACGTTGCACTGCATCGCCCAGAGGTGCGAGGAGCCGGCGGCTCGGCGTCAAATCGGGTGTCCCGAGCCTGGACGGGGCCGTGAGACGACGCGCTTTGTGATCCAGGACGAGTCGCAGTCGACCAACATCGCGATCGATTGCATCGATGTGGTCGAAGCCGAGGCCGACGACGCCGTCTCAATGGACCGGCGGAAGCCGGTTCTCGTAGTGCGGTGGCTGTACGGTTCAGCCTCCAACCTGCGGGCCTCACTCCAGGCCATGCAAGCCATTCTCCTTCCAGGGATGCAGTTCGACAGCTTCAACACGGACGAGCGGGAGGTTGCGGTGTTCAAGCAGATGCTCGAGGCGAACGCGAAGCTGCTCGACGAAAACTACGTCGCCCGTGCGTCGCGTGGCTTGCCCAGCGGCTGGCGCATCAGCGTGCGTGCGCCCCGCTGCCACTTGTGACTTGCCCAGCGGATGCGTGCGCCACTCCCTATAGCCCAGAGCTCCCTGAATCGTACGACCGCGTGCGCAGGCCTTGCAGCCGATCATGTCCCTCCGCAGCGGGGAGACGAGCGCCTGCCCGGTATGCGGCAAGAGCGCGCTGCTGACGTGCTCGCGCTGCAAAAAGCAAGCCTATTGCTCGAAGGAGTGCCAGCGCTCGGACTGGAAGCAGCACAAGAAGACGTGCAAGGCACCAGAGGCGGCAACCGACGCGGACATCATTGATGTGGATCTGCGCATCGACCCGGACACCGGCTTGCACGGCTTCTGCATGGGCGCTGAGTCGGCAACCTCGGCAATGTCGCGATGTAGGCGGACGGAGCGAACAGGCATGGCGGGCAGCCATCTACTCGAAGACAAGGTGTACGTCGTGAAGGTGCAGACGCCGCCACACGAGGGTCCGCTGCTCTGCTACGACGCGACACGCCAGTTCCAGCTGTACATCACAGACGAGGCGTGCGCGGAGAAGCGGCGGCTGACTGAGCTCATCCGAGCCAAGGGCGTGTCCGGCAAGGTTGCTATGGGCGGGTCTCGCAAGGCGTACTTCAACGCCTACCGCACAGGGTCGACGATGAAGCTGCTCATTCACGAGCTGCTGCCGCTGCAGGCATGGTGACCTTGGGGCTTGGGGCTTGGGGCCGCGCGTGAGTGCGGAGCGGCGGTTGGTCTTGCTGGGGGTGTGTCAGTCTCGGCGATGCTGTGAGTGGCTCCGAACGTGTGTAACTTTGTAATGGAACTTATAGAGAAACAAACTGGGAAGCCACGCCCCGCAAAAAGATCAGCTACCGTCCTACTAGTTGCACTAAAGCACTAATCAGCCGAAAACTTGGAGTGCAGTCAGTCATCAACCTCACATCCCGCGCCGGGGGCACTTGGAGCACTTGGCCCTTGGAGCACTCGGCAGGAGAGAGAGAGAATTCTTGATACGAAACCACGACGACACACACCAGTCGACTCGCATCGGTTGCCTCCATGAACGGCGGAGCTATTCTCGCGCCCACACCACACCTGGCTCCAACGTGGACACGCCCATAGCTGGGGACACTACTAGGTCACGCATGGCATCACAGAAGTTTTATCTCTGGGCCCCGAAAGGCATCTCTAGCAGTGTCGCTACGCATGCCCCCTCCCCTCCTGGGCGCATGCGCCTCACGTCTCGCCAGAGCATAAGCCCTTGGCGTGTGGCGAGACGAGTTTTTCGCCATCGCAGCGAGCAGCAAGCCGCCCGCCGCAAACAGCCGGAGGCATCGCCACGGCACTGGCTGCGCCGCGGTCCCGCACCCGTCGACGCAGCTCCCCCCGCGGAAGACCGCGCGTAGCAACGTCTTGACGATCGAGATGAGCGTGCCTGAAGCTCGCCCACCTACTGCCCCTGAGAGTTGGTTATTGAGTGGGATCAGCTCCCCCCCTTGGGATCGAAGCCGCCACAACCTCACACCCAACATCCCAGGCGGGATCAGAAGGGGACTCCACACCGGACACCGCCCGGGCACAGCCCCCCTACCCGTCGGATCGCACAGAGGGCCCCCTCGGAGCAGCCCACACACAATCACGCATCGGCAGATTGAGTGCCTGAGTCAGGCAGACAGCACAGACAAGAGGAGAGAGAGGAGAGAGAGAGAGAGAGAGAGGAGAGAGGAGAGGGTGAGGGTGTGAACACACGTGAGGAGTGGGGGAGGGTGTCTGTGGTGGGCTGTAGTCCTACTACGTGGTTAGAACCACGCGCCCCTCAGGAGCTTAAGGTAGAGCTGAGCGTCCAAGACGCCTCGGTGCCTCCCACCGGCGTGAGACCATCCTCTCTCTCTCTCTCTCTCTCTGCACTCGGCACTCGCGTTTTTTTCAGCCACCTTGTTGGACTGACGGAGATCGGCCCCCATCGCGCCGCCAGATGCCACGGCCCATCGTTCCCTACAAGGATCTGCCCGCCAAGTCGCCAGCACCGCCGCAGCCGACAGCGCCGCAGCCTTCGAAGCATTATCTCGAGCTCAAGCGCAACCAGTCCGCCGCTGCCGGCGCCGCTCCGGCCCGCGCCAAGAGGAGGAGCGAGAGTGCCGAGCTGCCGCGGTCTCCCGACGGGTACGCGCGTCTGCACGACCCTGCGCCCTCGCCTGTTTCGAGCGTCGAGTCGAGCCCGGCGGCCGCTCGCGGCATCGGCGTCGCGAGGGACATGGGCGCGCTGCCGCGAGGCATGGAGCTGCTGTCTGGGCCGTCTCGGACGCTCTGCCTGGCGATCGGCTCGCTGGAGCGGTCGCCGGGCCTGCTCCGCTTCGTCCGCCCGCTCGCCTACTTCACCTTCTTCGCGATGATCGCCATGCTCGGCGCCGTGTCGCTGGCGTTCGTGTGGACGCCCGGCTACCGCTACTATGTCGCCACGCACCCGCTCAACCTGACCGCCGCGGAGCTGGTTGCGCGAGAGGAGCGGCTCGGCCCTGCTCTGCCGGAGGGGTGCCAGGCGTTCGAGAAGAACTCCGACCGCGTCACCGACACCTTCGCGACCGCGCTGGACGTCGCTCTCAAGACGCCGTTCGAGGTGGACGCGCTGCCGGCCGACCCGAGATTGCCCGAGATTGCCCGAGATTGCCCGAGATTGCCCGAGGTTAGGTGGACGCGCTGCCGGCCGACCCGCAGAAGCTCGGGCCGGGATCGCGGCTCCTCCTTCTCGACGCGCTGGTGGTGCCCCGAGAGTCCCCGAGATTACCCGAGATTGCGCGAGAGTAGGCTGCTGCTCGACGAGCTTGTGGTGGACGAGGTGCGCCAGACAAGAAGAGGAGCTCGGTGGGGCACGGGACGCGGCACAGACGGGAGCACACACGCCAGGCTACAGACACACGGGGGAGGGGCGCGGAGTGACGCAAGGGAGTCGGGGCGGCGGTGTGTGGCGTCCTCCGACGGCGCAGCGAGGCTGAGCTGCGTCGCAATCTCAGGTGCACCACGGGCGGTGGGTGTTTGGCGTCTGCTGGGACTCGCCCTGGTACCGCACGCTGCCCGACCAGGCCGTGCTGCGCCTGCGCCGGATCGGCCTGACGGCGACGCTGACGATGCGCGTCACGCAGTGGCTGCCGCTGGTTGGGTGGTGCCACGTCACGACGGGGCTGGCGACGGTGCGCGGGCTCGGCACCATCTACCTCGACGACGTCGACTTGGAGCACCTCGCGGAGCCGGTCCAGGTACGAATCGCCAGACACAAGAACGGCACAGCAACCGTAGGACTCCCACGCGCGTGCACTCAGCTCTGTCGCACGAAGAGGCTCCCAGAGCCGGACGCAGGAGCGGCACTGGCCAACACACACCCGCACCTGACGCACGAGCAGGCGTGCACCGGCGAGTTCGACCTTCACGTCGACTCGGTCACGCTGCACGGTTTGCCGGGCGCGCGCGGAGCTAAATGAATAGCTAAGGAGCATGACCAGCTGTTAATTCTGAGCTAGGCATGCCCGGCGCGCGCGGCCGAAAGTTCGACGTGACGAATACGGCGCGGAAGCAGCTGGCGGGCGTTGACCTGGCGTCACTTTTCCCCATCCAAGACGTTCTCTGCCACGGCGCGGGGGCGAGAGCACCCGAGAGGACCCGAGATCAACCCGAGATTGCGCGAGAGTAGGTCCTCTGCTACGGCGAGGGGGCGCACTCACTCGCGGAGCTGCGCGAGAAGCGCGAGGCGGAGGGCAAGCCGCCGCTGGCGACGCTGTCGGTGGAGGAGGTGGAAGCAGAGCTGGGCGCGGGCGGCGCGGTGCCGTTCGCCATGCTGCTCAATGCCCACGTGCGTGACGCGATGCCTCTGATCCACCTTGGCGCCAGCGTCGCGCTCGGAGGCGCGGCGGTGCTGGTGGCCGCGTCGCTCGCCGCGCTACTCTGCGCCGTCCTCGGCGTCGCGGCGTTCATCAACGAGTCTCCGCCGGCCATCCTGCGCGTTGGCCTCGCCGCCACCGCCGCCGCGTCGCTGCTGCTGCTGCTCGGGTGGTCGAACCCGTTTCCCGCCGCCGTGGGCTGCTTCGGCGCGCTCGTCCTGCTCGGCGCGTGGCGCGTGCTTGTCTGCGGCTTCGGGCAGCTGCGCGCGGCGCTCTGCTCTCCGTGGCGCGCGTTGCTGCTCGCCCTCAGTGCGGGCAGCGCCGCGTATGCGGGCAAGGCCGCGTACGCGCTGCTCGCGATCCGGAGAGACGTCGACGTTGAGCTGCCTGGGGCGCAGCTCGAGGACGGGTCCGAGTGCTCGACGAGATTGCCCGAGATCACCCGAGATTGCCCGAGATTAGGCGCAGCTCGAGGACGGGTCCGAGTGCTCGACGCTGGCCGACTGCACCACCGGCGAGAGGCCGCTGCTCCTGCTGGGCGGGCTCACGGCGGCGGCGGCGGGGATGGCGATCGCGCTCGCGCCGCTGTGCGTCGCGACCACGCTCTGGGGCCTCTGCTCTCTCGGCGGAGCCGTGGGCAAGGTTGCGCCTGAGGCGGCGGCGTCGCGCGACGCCGGCAAGGCCGCGAGCACGGAGGAGCGGATCCGCGCGCGGCTGGACGCGTTCGAGGCGCTCGACGGGCGTCTGAACGGGCTGCCCCGCTGCTACGTCTACATGCTCGCCGCCATCGCCCTCTCCGGCTTCGTGCTGGTGTTCCTCGCCCTGGAGTGGTCGCGCCAGCTCAACAGCCGCACGCACTACGCGGGCGCGCTGACGTGAGAGGCGTTGCGACGGGAGTCGCCGCCTCGATAGAAACCGTGGGCAGGGAGGCGGCGGTTGGGCGGCGGTTGATGGCCCCCGCCTCTCCCGCCACCTCACTGAACGGCTTGCCTGTTCCGCAGTGTGGTGCGTATCCGCCACAGCTCAAAGGGAGTGTCTCATCTCTCTCGCTCGTGGAAAGAGTTTGAGCGGAGGGTATGTCTGCGGTCGCTTTTGACGTTACTTTGTCGGTTGCGGTGTTACACGGTAGGTGTGTCACCTCACTAACGGCACGGAAACTGCTTCCTTCGGATCCCACCAACACAGATCACAGTTCACAGACTCTCTACTCAACTCTCTAACCCCGGTCCCCGGCAAATCTATCTAAGCGTATCAGGCCACACTCCGAAGTATGCCGCAGTATGGCGTGATCGCACCACGCCCTAGAGCCGTAAGTACAATATTCTAGCTCCCTGCGTCGGCAACAGCTAGGGAGCTGCCTCTGGCGCTTGAAACCGTGATCAGTAGCAAACGGTCTGAAGAAAAGGGGTAGCCGGTCGACTTGTGGTCTTCACGAAAACGTGCCAGGCCCGAAACGCTTACGCGCCCGAGAGGAGGCCTGCCTGGCGCGCGGGGAACACGCGGAACGCCCCGTGGGCGTCGAAGGGCACGGCGTAGCGCGAGGAGACGAGCATACGTGCGGGCTGGCCTCGCAGAAGAGAAATCATCGTGTCAGCGAAGGCGGGGACGCTGTTCTCGCGCGGCAGCACGCGGTGCGTGACGCGCAGCGACGGGGGGCTGGCGGCGCTGGCGCCGGCGACGAGCGCTTGCACGGCTTGCGTGAGGGCGCTGTGCTCCTCAGGGTGCATGAGGCGGAGGAGGGACTGGCCGTGGAGTTGCGATCGCGGGTAGCCAAACAGGTCGGCGGTCAGCGCTGCTTTGATGGTCCAATCTAGGCCCACCTATGAGAGAATGCACGTGAAGCCGCCCTCCACCGGTCTGCATCCCACTAAAGGCGAAGTACCAGCACGACGACGGACGCAGTCGCCTGGAGCAGCTCGATGGCGTCCACGCCCAAGTTCAAGGCCCCGTTGCTACCTCCAAGAGGCGCAGCGGAGGCCTCGACTTGGGTGCGCTGCCGCTGAACGAGGCGCACGTCGCCGGCGCACGCGTCAGGCCGCTCGCCCTTGGTGCGCTTTCGCGCATCCACGTGGATGGGCGGCGACGCGAGACAGGCGAGGGGTTGTAGCCCTTGAGGCGTGCTGACGGCGATGGTGACGAAGAGGTGGAAGGGGCGGTTGCCACAGTTGAAGGAAGTGTACTGCAGCAGCAGCGACGTGAAGGAGGCCTCGAGGGTCGCGCCCGACGTGCGACTCAGTCGACGGAGGCAGCACCCGCCGAGGCCCTGGTTGAGGGAGGCGGAGGATGCAGAGGCGGAGGCGGCGGCGGCGGAAGAGGAGGAGGGGGAGAGTGAGGGGGAGGTGGAGGCGGGGGCACCTGTGACGGCCCGCTACAAGAAGGGCGACTACCGGTTCGCGCGGGAGAAGAATTGCGACCTGCGTTTGCTCGACTTCGAGACGTGAACGAGCTAGCGTGCGGGGACAGCGGCATTGTGCACGGAGCTAAGTGCATTGCCGTTCTTAACGGAGTCGCTTAGGCGGCTCCGGTGGTGTGCCGGTGATAGTACTAGCACGCGCCAGTTCGCACCTGTGTCGAGCCTGTGTGCTGTGAGAGAGAGTTGTGTTGTTTGAATTCTTTCTCGAAACACGGCGTCGCCGCGACCGTCGCGAGCGTCGCCGCACACCAATCCTCGCTACCCAACAAGGATATCCACCTCGAGAACCTCGAGAGAGCGTCGCGAGCGTCGCCGCGGCCGATGTTGCCTATGCTCAGCCTCATTCTCGAAGTACCACTCCTCGGCACCACCGCTGCTATTTCGCACCCGCCCTCGCACCGCGCCGCCAGTGTGCGCCTCGCAGCATCCTCCGAGCGAGGAGCTAGGCTTCCAGCCGCCACTCCGCCGCCAGCGCTGCCACTTTCACCTCCCTGCCAGGTCCGCATCGACCGCCTGTCCTCCTGCGCGCACGCGCGGCACTGCTGCCGCCACGGCGACGGCTGCTTCACCAGCCCGAATCGGCAAGAGAAGCACTCGTCGGCTCAGTGCCGCCGCTTCTCCCACCCTTGCAACGACACCGACGAGTGGATCTGCCCGGCCGACGGTGCAGCTGCTCCGCCGCGACCCACGACGCCGCCCCCGCGGCCAGAGACGTCTCATCCGCCACCGCCAACACCGTCGCCTCCGCCGCCGCTGCAGCTACCGCACTCTCTGCCGCCGCCGCCGCCGCCCTCTGCGTCGTCACGCGCTGCTCCCTCGCCACCTCCGCCCTCGCCGTATCCTCCGCCGGGACGCCTCGACTCGCCGCCGCCGCCGCCGCCGCCGCCGCCGCCGCCCCAAGCGCCGCTGCCGCCTCCAGCGACGCTGCCGCCGTCACCGTCGCCGCTGCCGCCTCCAGTGGCGCTGCAGGCGTTACCGTCGCCGCCGGAACCGCTGCGGCGGACAAAGCTTTTGGCTGTCCCGTCGGCCTCGCCTGGCCCTGTCCTACCTGATAATGCTTGTACGACGGCGACTTCATGCACCGAGTCGCCGGCTTCCACGGAGGGATCCAGCACGACGACCGCGCGCCCTAGTCGTCGGCTCTCGGCTTGTGTAGAGGACGCCACGCT